CACCCCCCCCACCCATCCCCTTGATACACCATAGCCCCCTCCCACCCCCCAGCTGGGGGGCAGTCCCTCCCACAGGTCAGCACTCATCATTTTTGGTCTTTGGCAAGAGAAAAAGCAGTTACCCAAAATCATTTTTTCATCCCTTCACACCTGTGCCCCCTTAGGTGTCGTAGGAAACCTCTGAATCCCCCTCTCTACACACACCCTTCTTCAGGCAAGCGGAGAGGCTACAGCTTCTCCCTCTGCCTGAAGAAGGGTTTTTGTACCCGAAAGTTTGCAAAGAACAATTTTTCCAAGTATTTTGTTTGTCTAATAAAAGATATCACATTTACCCCAAGAAATGGCTGCAACATTCCAGCTTCTTCATTCTGCAGTCCTTACAGCACAAGCACTTTTGAAGATTTATACACCTTGAAATTGAGTAAATTAAGTCGAGGTTTGAAGTCTAATTTTTAGTTCTTGAAATTCAACCTTGACTTATACATCGCATCACCCTGTGAGCGGTGCTGAGTCCACTCGCAGCAAACAGGGCCTGCTAGTGTGGCCCCATCCCCTGCAAGCCTGGCAGTGCTTGCAGGGGCAGGGATAGGGATGGGGCAGGGTCCGGGCTCAGTGCTTGGCTGGGGATACGCCGCTTGCAGCGGACAGGCTTGGTGCTCGGCTGGCGCAGGCCCATCCGGTGACTGGCCCAGGGCCTGCAAGGGATGGTGGCCCTGTCTGCTACGAGTGGCACTGCTGAGTGCGAAGTCCAGTGCTCAACAGTGCCTCTCGCACTGGATGGGGCTGGGAATTGGTACTTGGTTGGTGCAGCACAGGCAGCACCACTCGCTGGGGGTGGAGCCGCAACAGCCAAGTGCAGAGTCCAGCCCCGACTTATACATCATGCTTATGAAAATTCTCACTTTTCAAATCGGAAAGCTGGGAAGGGGTCAACCTAAACACCATTAAATACAGTAGGTCTGCAGAACTTATTACTAGTACCAAGGAAAGAATGAAGAGAAGCCAAGGTTTGACTTCGATCTGGGAAATTTGCACTTAAACTGAACTTACAAAGACACTAAGTTCTTATACACAACACAACTAGCATCCAAGCAAGACCAACAAGCTTGTTCTGGAAACTATTTTTTGTGGCTGTAATAGACTCCTTGTCAGGTGTGAAAATCAGCTGATATTAAGAAAACAAGTAGAAGACTGGCCTGATGGCCCTCATGATTAGCTCTCAGAACTTACTCAAAAGTCCTCACTTTCTGATCCCACCTTTGTTAGGCTCCATACTATTCCCAGCCCTTAAAAGCAGGGTGGATTTTTTTGTTGTTGTTGTTATTCTGTGCCCACTATAGAGAAAGCAATGACAATCTCAAACAGAGTAGTATTGCCCGATGCTTATTAATACAGCTTCTTCATATACATATAGTCTGCGTGAAACAACAGGAGTTTCCTCTTCTATTGCTGGACCAGAAATTTCTAAGTACGGACTACCTAAATTAAAAATCCTCATGCAAAATGCCCCTAGGCTCTTCATATTGTTTCAGAGATGACAAGAAATACAGCTTCAGGTCTCAGTTGAAATAAGAACTAAAACAGATTTGAACATGCACAGGGGAGTTTTGTTTTGTTTTTTTACAGGAAATAGCCATCAGTCATCCCTGTTTATGCATTCTCAAATTTGCATAATAGACAAACTACTTTTCCTTCCAGTTTGAGATCACAGCCCTGAAGCAGTTATGTTACTGTTTACAAGCAGCAGCAGCACACACACACACACACACATTTTTAACAACCTTGAAAGCAGTAGGTAGCCTTTCTTTTAGAGAAGTCTTACTAACTTCAAACTATTTTTTGCTTATCATTTAACGCCCTTCTTTCCGACTGTTGTCTTCTGTGCTCTCCAATAACTTTTTTTTGCAGCCTCATTTCCTTCTCCACTGCACTCCTAGACATTCTTCTTCTGTTCCAAATCACAGGTAGTTCCTGTGGAAGTTGCCTGGTTACACAGGTACTGGGGTTTGCTCACATGGAGCCACTTGCACATAGGCTAGAAAAAACCCACTAAGATTTGTGCCTGTCAGCAATTTTATTGGAAAAAGACATACTAGAAAATGCTGAATGGCCAATGTTATCCATGCAGCTTAAATCAGCATTTTTCCAATACAAAAATTCAAATCTCAATTATTTTATTTTACAAATGTCAAGACCTGATAAATATATTTACTTTTTCAAACAGAATATGATGTTCAAACTTCCTGTGCAGAAGTTCTGTCAGCATATTCTAGAGCTATGACTGAATTTCATATCCCAGAGGATCAAGACCCTGGTCCAAGAGCGTTACAGAAGATTCCCTTAGCTTCTGTAGTAGCTTCTTGAGTTCTTCCTTAGAAAACACCTATGAATAAAAATATGAAGACATGAGGTTATATTTTCTTTTGTACATGAGAATACATTTGAAAGTAAACAATGAATTAGCATGCCTAAAATAAGCTGAATAGGTGTCTCAACACTTAGATACAACAAAAATTAGAATAAAAAAGCCTGGTAATTGTCAATCAGCCCAGAAGAGTGGCAGTACTCCAACTCCACAGACAATCTTCAAAGTTGCTCACAAATCTCAAAACTGCTTAACATTTCTACTAGAAAGATAAGCAGGGAAACATTTAATAGTAACAAAGATGGTGACTGGAATTCAGACCCCCTTGTAGCAATAGAGAGATCACGGTTCTTAGAGTAGTTGGTTTACCTGCAAACCCTGCCTCACAGTCTGTTGTTAAAACGCAATTCCCTCCCTTCCCCCTGCTATTTTGCAGCCAGAAGGATTAAAACCAAGAATGCTTCTGCATCTTTGGAAGCGCTGGTAGGCCATTTCCAGACAAATATGGACGTTTGTTTCCCCGAGGACAAGGAGCAGCAGTAGCACACCTTGTGCCATAGCTCCTTGTCCCTGGGGAATTCCCATGGTACGCACACTCTGGAGTGCAGCAGGTTACCTTGGGTGGAGTAGGGGAGGCTGGGGCCAGCAACTGTGCTGGCCCAGCAGCCTTACATGGGGTCCTGGGGGCCTTGGTGAGCTGCAGCCAATGCTCCTGCAGCTGGGAGTGTGACTTTGGCTGGCCAGGCTAAGGTTTTGGGCAGCATGGCTTTTTTAGACCCTAGGACCTCCCAGGGTCAAAAAACCCCAAACCCGTGCTGCAAGGTAGCAGTGCAGGGAATGCCTGCATGTTCAGTGTGTGGTACCGCAAATAGGTCTGTGGCACCACATACCAAACATCCACGTTTGCCTGAATGTGGCCATACAGTGCATGAGGCTTGATTGCTAGCAGTGAAATGCAACAGCAGAACAATGAATCTTTATCTTATGATTTGGGAGGAAAATAAACACACGCACAAACATAGCACTATTTAGAGGAAATATTCAGATAACCAAATTTCTCAGGCCTACCTCTTACAGGCCTTAATGACTTTTAAAGAACACACAGCAAAAGGCCAAAGTTAATCCTTTATACCAGTGGTTATCAATCTTTTTAGATTGAAAGCACCACCCTCAGAAAATGCCAGCTCTTAGCTTTCACTTGTTTTTCAAATATGGAGAGCAATTTTTCTGCTGTAAAGACCTCAAAAATACCCCAATATCAGAATAGTTTTGACACTACAGATTCCTATTTAAAATGTCTGAGGTTATCTTGTGAATCACATGTAGATGTTTGCATGTTTAACAGTGGTAATACTACGTGATACCCTTAAAGGGTCTCAAGGCATCCCCACGATGCTGCAATGCCATGGCTGAAAATCACTGATGGGGAAGTCCTTTACTATTGCAACTAATGGGATAAAACAGGAAAGATTCCAGATTATACTAATCATAACTTTGTATCTTCTTTTATTAACAGCTATTTTCTAAGCCACTGTATGCTTCTTTAAATTAGTTTTAAAAGTAAAATCAAGAAGCTCTAACTCACCATGTACAGTTTATGCCGTTCTGAAGCAACAGTATCAGCCAGCCTCAGACATTCCTGATATTGCCCAGTACTGTGTAGAACTGTATGAAGTAAAAAGCACATCATGGGCAGGCACAGCTTTCTCAGCAAAATCATCTGATGTGTTCGTTCAGGATCATCTTCAGCATCCTTTTACCAGGAAAAGATGCATTAGTTTTAAATACATTTCCTTTACGCAGTTTTACAACAAAGATGGCCAATCTGCAGCATGCATGGCACAAGCAGCCTGTGCATGTGTGTGGCAGATCAGGGAGGGAGCAGGCAGCACAGCTACAGATATGGCAGGGAGCAGGAAGCAAAGCAGAAGATTGAGCAGGCAGCACAGGACAGGGAGCAAAAAACAGAGCAGCAGATTGGGCAGGGAAGAGGATTGGAGTAGCACTTGGACAGGGTACGGGGCTTATTTTGTGGCACGCCTGCCAAAAAGACTGCTTTACACCCCCACCCCTACCCCCACAAAGCAACAGTGTCAGAATCAAGACATTGGAACAGACAGACTACTGGTCTGATGGGTATGGCAACTGCTCATATTCCAAACTATGGAAAAAATCCATTCAAGCTAGTAAAGCCACGAGAGCAAATTATATAAGCAAACAGACAAGAGAAACAGAAATTTGAGAATGCCAAAAGATTCTTATTATTGAGTAAAGACAGCAACTTAAGATCTATTCCAGGGTACAAGAATCTGTTTACCTCTCTAACATCAACCATCCATCCTCCATCAACAAACAGCAAGACATTATACATTTTTTCTTTTACATCAGCTGTTAGTGCATCCAAGAGACCTTTCCAAATTCCATAATCCATCTGGAGAAGAAACATTACAGTAAATAGCATATGTATATATTGCTGAAAAGAACAACATCC